TAATACATGTTTTATGAAATAATTTTTAGAAGAAAAGGTGTGTATTTCATGAACATTGTAAGTTATAACTGATGCTGCCTATGCACATTCTTTATTTTCTTTGTTCTTCCAGCCTTTGTGTGCCCTGATACCCATAGGAGGAAAGGGAAACAAGACAATGTTTTCTTCTTTATCTAAACAGCTTAGCCTTAAGAATAGGAATCAGAAAGGGTATGTCTTTTTTTTTTTTTTTTTTTTTTGAGAGGTTTCTGCTATAGGGCGCATACGCTCACCAGAAAGACAGAGAGACAGAAAGCAAGAAATCTCCCCCGAGGGGGGATGGCCATGCCACAATCCCTTCTCCTCCATTCTCCTTGGGATCTTGGGCACACACGCACACGTACCCGGCATGGTTTTAAGCCACTGGGTCCGGGACTCGAACTGCGGTCGACTACATGGGAGTCAGTGACATAGCCATTACAGTAACTGTTGGTCCCAGAAAGGGTATGTCTTGATTTTTTTTTTTCCTGCCATAGTGCGATTGCACTTAACAGAGAGAAATGACATACAGAGACAGACAGACAGACAGACAGACAGAGAAGGAAAGTGAGAAATCAAATCAACCCCCGGGGGGATGGCCACACCACAATCCCTTCTCCATTCTCTTCTCAGGATTTTGGACACACACACACACAACTGACATGATTTTTCAAGCCTCTGAGTCTAGGACTCAAACCTCACAGCCAATCATGCGAGATTCAATACTTGAATCTTCATGCCACCTGCTGGACGCCAGAATGGGTATTTCTAATCTAAATACAACATAAGCTTGATTTGCCTTTTAATCGATTAGTATGTAAAACCACCTTATAAGGCAGTACAAGATAACAGATATCCTGTAAGGCAAGAAAGGTAAAAGTATAAATATTTTTTTAAGGATAGAACGTTCTCTCTACAAGGAGCTCTGGCCTTATTATTATAATTGTGCTAGCTCAGGAACCAAGAAAGCTCAGTGTTTATTGACATTTCCTTAAATGGAAACACAAATATTTTCAGTGCATTCAGTTCTGGAATAATAATGTAAATCCAAAGAATAAAAAGGACAGTGGTTTAGAAATCAGCTGTTTTGGGGTCAGCAGGTGGCATAGTGATTAAAGCACTGGACTCCCATTTGGCCAACCACTGATTTGAGACCCAGACCTGGCAGTTCACTTTCTCACTTTGTTTCTTTGTCTTTCTCTGGTGAGGACACATGCCCTATAGAAAATTAAACACTACTACTACTAATAATAAATATTTAAATAAATAACTCTTTAAAAAGGCAAAGAAATTGGCTATTTATTCAACTTTGGCAGGCGTTTGAGTGGAGAATAACACTGCAATTGGGGTCATTTTTGGAGAAACAGACGTCAGCATAAATCATCTTCCTCTGGACTTTCATCCTGTTACATTGTATATTTGTATCCTTCATCAAATAAACTGGGAATTTATAACACACATGTATGCGTCTGTGACGATGAGGTGTCTCTTCTTACAAATGAGAAAACAAGCCTTGGGAAGTGTTGGGACCATTCCCAAAGTCATAGCACTAGTGATAGAACTCGGGACTCAAAATCATCAGATTCCAGGACTCGGAACCACTCTAATTTTCTGTTGCACCTAGAAATATTGGTCAAACGCCCAAAGCCATTTTCCATTTCCCTTCTCCCTAGTCATGTTCCAGTTAGATACATCCATGGGACAGTTCTAGCCAAAGAGATTGAAATCTGCCACAGGAATCTTGGAAACAGGAGTGCCTTTTTGTGAGGGGTACTCCTGCCCCTATCCCCCTTTCTTTTTTTAAATTTTTTTTCTTTTCCAATATAATTGAAGAAACAAAATTTATGCAAACATTAGGAAAATGCCAAAGAATCACAGTATAACGTCAGTGCTGGCGAATGAAGTTGAACTGCTGAACTAGTGGCATAGTTGCATAACTGAGTTCTTTTTATTTGAGAAAAATAAGTTTAAGCCACAGTAACCAGCTTTCCAACTACTACCTGATAAATCCACTTAAAGCATTTTCTTGTGCATGTTATTCTTCCTGATTAATAAAATTTTAATTTTCTTATGTCTACGCTTATCTAAAATAACTTTATCCATCATTTATGTTAATACTTCTGGGAAAATTTAATCTAGGTGTGATCCATGTAAGAAACATAATTGGATTTTTGTTTTTAACTTAATATTAGAGAAGAATATGTTAATTGTAATTATAGATTTCTTAAAAGTTTATTTCTTTCAAGAGAGAAAGACGAGGATAAGGAGAGTCACCCCCAACAGAGTCTGCACCATGATGTGCCCCAGCCAGTCAGGATCATGGGCATACACGAATGCCAGCATGTGTAGGGACGTCTTGGGGTGTGAACCTGGACCTTTCCCACATGGCTTCAGCATTAAAGAGTGTGCTTATCACTAGAGGCCACTGTGACTGTCCTCGATGACAACTTTAAGCAAACATTGATAGAAAGGATATTTTAAAATTACACAAGAGACTCGTCTATGTCATGTGTAAGTCACGTACTGAATATAATATGAGAATCTTTCAGAAAAGAAAAAATCTATAGTATAGGTCTTGGAAAATTAGTTACCTATTAATCTTTTGCTTGGTCCAAATCCTTCGTAAACCCACAGGTGACCATGACAAGTCAGAGGTGTGGGTGTCATCTGGAAGTTAATAATATCAAGGCGAATGATGTGATTTGGAGGGGCCACTAACCTCCAGTGGCACCTGTAGCATGGATGAAAGGAAGTCAGAAGTGGTTTCCAAACAGAAGATACTGTTATCTACTTCGCTCAAGTGCATCAATGTTATTGATTCTCAGTGAGCCTTAGTTTGTGTACGTGTATCTTTATGCGTTGATTGGTGAATGATTTTTAAAAACTTATATCTGATAAAATACTGTGTAAAAAGTTGTAGTTAAGTTCACATAGGATGGTAAACGGTTGGTCAATGATGAGTATTGCTCTAAATCCTGATTGGCAATCTATGTATGTAAGAACCTATTCTAGTCATGATTTTCCCCAGACTCCCTTCTATATTAAGAATCTACTGGGACCAGCAGTTGGCATAATGGCTATGTCGCTAGACTCCCACGTAGTTGACTGTGGTTCGAGTCCTGGATCTGGTGGCTTAAACTCATGCTGGGCACATGTGTGTGCATGCCCAAGATCCTGAGAAGAGAAGGGATTGTGGTGTGGCCATCCCCCCTGGGGGTTGATTTCTCACTTTCTGTCTCTCTGTCTCTTTCTGTTTTTCTGGTGAGTACATGGGCCCTTCTCAAAAAAAAAAAAAAAAAAAAAAAGAATCTACTTAGGATTAGTATTACACAAATATTCACTTTTACTTTCTTGCCTTAAATTTTATTATATTGTTTAATTCAAAGAAAACTTTCTGCAATTGCAATTTAAGAACCATTTATTGAATATCTATTATGTGCCGTAATATTGTACACCCATCGTTTTGATTTCCAAAGTTCTTTGATAGAGATCTGACTTTCCATGTTGGCCAATAAATGGTTTCTTTTGTTGAGAAAGTACAACGTCTAAACAAACTTTCTCACAATGTTTTCTCATACAGAACACCACAGATTAGGGGTTATCTATTCTTTGAGAAGGTGGAGGATACTACATAATACAAATATCAAGTATTCACATGTGACTGTTCACACACTTCTCTCATCACAATAAACATTTCTTCCTTACCTCCTACTGGTTCCCCGAGGGGATCTTGGGATTTTTACGATTCCTGCCAGCTTGGTCAGGAGAGTGTCCTCACAAGTGACCATGGACTCTTGGTTTGGACTCTGGGAAAGTCTGGCTGTTTTGCTGTCCTTTGAAACTAGAAAAGAAATGAACAGAGGCGATGACCATGAAATTAATTTTAGTACAGGTTTCCAAACACTTTTTCAGATCAAGGCAATCAGCTCTCCTCTCTAATGGTCTTAAAAGAAAATTATCAGAAGGTGGTTGTTTTCACTGAAAAGTCTCTTTATTTTAAACGTTCAAAGATACAGAAAATAAGCACATCTAAGAACCATCTTTGACATAGCCTAAGGAATATGGAAAATTATAAATAAGTACAGATAATCCTACTAACTGCCCAATTCCACCTGAAATGAATGTTCTTTTTATTTAATTTTTTGTAGGGCATGTGTGCTAACCAGAAAGGCAGAAACGGAGAGACAGAAAGCAAGAAATCACCCCCCAGGGAGGATGGTCACGCTGCAATCCCTTCTCCTCCATTCTGCTCTCGGGATCTTGGCTACACATGTACACATGCCCAGCGCGAGTTTAAGCCACCAGGTCCAATACTTGAACCACGGTTGACTACATAGGAGTCCAGTGACATAGCCATTATGCCAACTGCTGTTCCCGAAATCAATATTCTTAATGGAGTTTCCTAAGAGAAATCTTTCATATAATAAGAAAGCTTTTCTTTACTACTCATTTAACTTTTCCCCCCAAATATGCAATATACAGAGGTCTAAAAAATAAATTCTCTGCAATTCTCTTCAGTTTCAAGAAAAGAACTAGTTTTTTTAAAAATCTTACTATACAGAAAACTGATACAGCAGTAATTAACAAATTATTAATAAGTAATTAATAACTAATAAGACAGCTAAGATTGAGAACTCAGATCTTCTGATCCACAAGAATTACAGCTGCAGAAAAGGTTCTCTGTGGTATAGAATCATAATCATAGGAAAAAATGCCGCCTTTCAACAAACACATCTTAGTCATGTTCAGAAATCATAATTAAAAACAATTTGCCAGAGGGCACCCTCATGAGAGAGTAAGAGAGAGAAAAAATGCATCCCCAATGGGGTGTGGTCACACTACAATCCCTTCCACTCCAGACTCCATCCCGTCAGGATTTGAATCATGCATGCACACATGTTTTTCAAGTCACTGGGTCTGGGATTTGAACCAAGTGATGGGCCACGTGGAATCTGTCTTCCTTAAACACCAGACCACAGGGTCAGCCTGGAAATCATAATTCTTGATGATTTATAAGTAAATCAAGTAATCCACTGAGTGGTATCACTTTTGAGACTGACCATATCTTCAATGACTTAGAGTTTCCTTTCAAACATAAACTCATTCCCCTCAAAACATGAGTTTTTATGAAATGCCATATAAGTTTTAAAATATTCCTTAAAGAATAACATTAATTTTTTAACCTGTATAAGTTTATAAAATGACCAAACATACCTCGGGCTCTGAAGACAGCATAGCTTTTGCCAAAAGCACCTTGTGTCAGAGAACAAAATGCCACCCTTACCAGCCGTGCAGAGCTCATGAAAATTAATGGGTAAAAGCTTCTTCCGCATAATTCACCTAGTTAAAAAAAGGAACTCTAGTAAAAAACAAAAACAAAATTTTGAGTAGTTTCTATGTTCTAGGCTAGGCAAGTAATTTACCACAAGGCAAGAATTGATTCCATTTTGCAAAGTGCAGAAACAGGACTCTGGAACTCAAGCAATTCCCTCAAAGTCATAGACTGGGGGGAGTAGGAAGAGCTAGAATCGAACCCATGAATCCAGTACCTAACAGAATATACTATATTACAGTGCTTCTTGAAGCGTGTGGTGAATTATTTCATCTTTTTTGGAGAGATTTTTGCTAAAGGTGCATGTTAGAGAGACAGTAGGTGAGATATGATCCCCCCAAGGGGGGATATTTTATCTTTTAAATGATGTTAATGTGTCATGTTTCTCTTATTAACCTGTTTTTTAAAGTATTCTAACACCAAGATCCATAATGAGCAACCTTTTCTACCTGGAAATTTATTCTTCCCTAGATTCAACATCCTATGGATTGCTTCACTTTGAGAAACTAAGTCACAGATGGAAGGGAGCATTATAATCACAATTCTAAAATGATGTCGAGAGCCGATTAAGAAAGTGTGGACACAACCTGTGAGTTTCTTAGAATCAAACTCATCTACTCTGATGAGTAATTCAGTATCATTTTGCAACATTTATCTAAATGTCACCTGCTCAGGAAAACACATGCTAAGGGCCAGCCCCATAGCACAATGGCTAAGCACTGTGCCTTGGCAGCCAGATCTCACATGGCTGACTACAGTTTGTATCCCTGGCCCCAGCAGCCTGAAAAACACACATGTCATGCATGCATGCCCCAAATCCTGACTGGTGGGGAGAAATAAAGGAGAAAGGAGTGTGGCAGGACCATGTCCCAACTGGTGGATGCTTTCTCTCTCTCCCTTTCTCTGGCAAGTACACATACCTCTCAATTTGGAGGGAGAGAGAGAGAGACAGACAGACAGACAGACATGTTGGGCTTACCTGTAACCTAGTGGTTAAGGAAAGTGGATCCCACATGGTTGACTATACAGGTTGAATCATGGCCCTGGCAGCTTAAACAAAACATATCAGGTGCATATACACATATGGACAAAATTCAAAATAAACTTTCCATTTTCTTTCTTTTTTTGTTGGAAAGGTTTTTGCTATAGGGTGCGTGTGCTTGCCAGAAAGACAGAGCGACAGAGAGACAGCGAGAAATCATCCCCCAGGGGAGATGGCCATGCCACAATGCCTTCTTCATTCTCCTCTCAAGATCTTGGGCTTGCATGCACACGCACCTGGCGTGAGTTTAAGCCACCAGGTCTGGGACTCGAACTGCTGTCAACTACATGGGAGTTCAATGACATAGCCATTATGCTAACTGTTGGTCCCAATTCTCCATTTTCTGATGAAGAAATGGAGGACAGGGGACTGTGGCATGAACACGCTTCACCAGGAAAAGCTCTCTCTCTTTCTCTCTTACACCCTCTCTCTCTCTCTCTGGCAAGTATTCATGCCCCCTGACAAAACAAATAAACAAACAAAACAAAGAAAGACAGACCGACAATACTGATTATAGTATAGATAGCCATATCACACCTACATTCCAGATACTTCTTTTCCTGCTTCCAGCTGCATTTTCCCCACCTTAGCTCTTCATCTAATATAGTGTATATTTTATTTTGTTACGAGTCTTTTACCTACTTGGATATAAACCTCATAAGGGTCCGTGTTCCTTTTGTTCGCTACTGGATCCCCAGAACCAAAATGATTCAGTCCCTGGCCCATAGAAGTTACTTCACAAATAATTGTGGGGAGCAAAAGAAGGTACTATATCCAAGGAGGAGGAAAGGAGAAAGAGCATTAGGTGGCATATTAATGCAAATGATGCTGAAATACTACTGGATATTTGGAGAATGAGTAAATGCTTATTTGTGCTAAGTAGAGATGAACTGACTTCCACAGGAAGAAAAATAAAATTTTACAGAATGGAAAGATACTATACAACTTGAAAAAAGAGTAATGTTTCCATTACAGCCTTACAGTTCTGCCAGCTATAATTTGAAGAGGCAGAACAATTTCATGAGGTTCAAGCTGACAATTTCAATTCAAAGAAATGCTAGGTTGGAAAATCATACGAAGTTCTCAGTTAATCTACAACAAAGTCAAACAAGGCTTTCAACAGGCAACGATGAGAAATTCAGGTTCCCCAAGAAGATGTCTCCTTCTCTGTAACAGTCTAGTATATTATGAATATAGAGCTGGGAACAAAAATAACTTTTGTTTTTTAAAGAAAGAGAGGTCAGCCCCATATCACAGCTGTGAAACACTGTGCAGAGGAAACCAGATTCTACATGGCCGACCAGGGTTTGAGTCCCAGCCCCAGCAGCTTCAAAAGCAGAATGGGTGAACACACATGTGCTTAGGATTCTGACAAGATGGGCAACTGAAAGAAAAAGGATTACATCATGGCCAGACCTAGCTAGTTAGGAGGAGGGATCACTCTCTCTCTCCCTCTCCTTCTCCCTCCCTCCCCCTCTGTCTTGTGTATGCACACCCACTGTCTGGCATAAAAAAAGAAAGAACAGCTATACAATCACTTTATCATTCTCTCAATACATGGTAACATGATTCCAAAATAACATTTTGAGGGGTGGCAAGAAGATGATGTGGTGGTTAAGGCACTGGACTCCCACATGGCCAACCACAGTTCAAGTCTTGGACCTAGCATCTTGAAGCTCATGCTGGGTGTGTATGCATGTGTGCCCAAGAGCCCAGGAGGACAATATATTGCAGTGTAGCCATTCCCCATGGAGGGTGGATTCTCACTTTCCCTCTCACTATCTCTCTCTCTCTCTCCACTGAGCTCACATGCCCCACAGCAAAAACCTAAAAATAAATTTTTTTAAAGGAAAACACTTTTCTGAACTCAGAATAAATTGAATTAATTTTTTTTTTTTTTGGAGAGGTTTTTTGCTACAGGGTGCTTGCACTCACCAGAGAGACAGAGAGAGACAGAAAGC